AATCGTAAACATGACTTGAATTTGCTTAGATATGATTTCTTTAGTAACTCGTAACTATATTTCCCTAGATACGGCGGAGATGAAAGAAACAAATCATCATAAATATTTTTACCTTCACTGAGTCAAGCCTTTGGAGAAGTTATGAGTTTATTTTCTCAAACAAAAAAAATTAAACAAAACACGATGTTAGACGGTGACAAACTTTCCAGGTCTCGTGTCATTAATGTACAACAGATTATATGGGATAAGTTTTCCCCTAAATTGCGACCTTTTTGTTTTTTCCAGGTTTCATTATGTGGAGAGTGGCGGTAAGGTGTAATATTGGTCTAACTATATATAAGCTGTTCTTTTTTTGTCTTGTGTACTGAGGAAGGAAAGCCATTAGAAGGATATATTCTTTTATCATTGTTAGTGCTGCTGTTGTTGTTTAATAATTCTTCTATTCTTTTATTTTTCGTTTATTATGATTTGTTGTATTTATTTTCTGTTTTTCTTATTTATCTTTTTTTGTTTATTTGTGTTTTTAGCTGTTTTAATCATCTTCTTTTATTCTGTTTCCTCTTTTTGTTTTATCTATCAGTCTGTCTGTCTGTTTTTCTCTCATCTATATGTGTGTTTGGGTCTGTCTTTCATATTCTCTTCCCCTCCTTCCTTCATTTTTTGCTATTCCCTCTCCTTCCTCTCTCTCTCATCCATCCATTAATCTCTTCCTCTCTACATTCCCCTTGTTTATCTATATTTCTCTCTCCTCCTCTGCATCTCCCTTCCTATCCTTTTATTTTTTCCTCTCTTTCTTTACCTCTTTTGTTGGCTCATTCTCTCTTCTTCTTCTTCCCCCTCTCCTCAATCCATCAGTTTCTCCTTTCTCTACTCCCTTTGTCTGTCTATCTGTCTGTCTGTCATTCTATCTCTGTCTGTCTGTCCTTCCTCCTCCCATCTCCCTCTCTCTCTCCCCTTCCTCCCCACCATTCTTCTCCCATCTCTCTCTCTCTCTCTCTCTCCATTCCTTTGCAAGATAAAACAATTGCCCGCCAAAGTTACAATAAACGAAATAATTGCCTCAATTTCTCGTAACCTGATGATGCTCTTATCTCGATACCCTGCTCAAGAGGAGGATCGGACTACTACTCTTATTGTCTCCTTAAGAGGCATTGAATCGTCCTCAGCCGATGGTGCGGGAGTTCCTTATTGACGTTGTCTCGTCTATACCGGAGAGTTGGTGTTGACGGTGTAAGCGACCACAATGGCATTTCAATTTTGTTTTTATTTTTTCAAGTGGTTCGTAACTTTTTGTGATTGATGAACTATATGATGAATTAACTTTTGTGGCGGGTGAATTTTTATTGCGTAAATGATTGATGCTTTTTTGGTTTTTTTAATGGTGCGTAATACTGCATAAAGCCTTGAGATTTTTTACTCATGATTTTGGTTTGCTGTAAATGCTATTTTTTTTTACAGTATACTGTATACAGGTATACGTGAGTTTTGAGGGAGGACAATTTTGAGATTTTATGTAAATGTCGATTTTTTTGGAGTTGAGTAATTATGATGTTGTGTTTCTTTTATGGAGTGATGTGTTTATCTTTAACATCTCAGGCCTATATTTTGGGTATTTTATTTGTCTTATTTCTATTAGTTATTAGTGTTATCTTTGTTATTCTTTCGTTGTTAGCTTATTACTCTTTCTCTTGAGTCTAGAGTCACACACACACACACACACACACACACACACACACACACACACACACACACACACACACACACACACACACACTAAACAATGTCTTTAACTTAAATCGTTACCAAATTAACATTAACATATTTCATCTTACAATCACTAACCTAACCTAAAATTTTTTTGTCTAACTCAGGTGGTGATTATATTTAGCAGGTGCTAATTAATCTTATACACCTGTACGTATGGTAAACAAGAATGTGTGAATAAAGTTGAAATTGATGTTTTTGTTTTTAATAGATTTAAATTAATTTATTGTCATTTTTCTTAGGTAATTGTTCACCTTCCAGACACCTGTAAGTTCTCTGTTTCGTCTTAAAACCTAAAACATCGATATAACAAACTAACATTCAGTCACCTCTAATTTATCTTTCTTTCTCTCTTTGACAGGTAATAAAACTCATCTTCCAGGGGATCTTACTCAGCCCGCCAGACACCTGTCCTCCGCAGGTGTGTGACGTAATGCGCAGGTGTTGGGCCACAGATCCCAACGACCGCCTCAAATTCCCCGAAATCCTGGCTCGACTCAAGCGCCTACAGGAGGAACAGAGGACAACCGCTTTACCGTCTCCTCCCCCCTCCCCCGGGCCCGCCGTACCGCCCCCCATCACCTACAGCGAGTTGTGTTTACACGATGAAGGTGGACTTGAGCTGGACTCTGATCAGTACCTCATGCCCAGGATGGCTGAACGCAGGGAGTACATCACTGTACTCAGCGATGTGTAGAGTCCTGAACGACGGCTGGCTCTCGTTCAGTCTATTTGTCTCTCTCTCTATCTCTGCCTCTCTTTTTCTCTTTCATTCTTTCCAGCTCTCCTTCCCCTCCTCTCCAGCCTATCAAACACATGTGACAGTCTTGGTTCTGAGCGTCTCTTCACCTACAGAATATATTACGACAGCTGGACCTTCAAGACGCTTATATACCTTGTCTCTGGGTGTTCAGGTGACGTTAGGGAAATGTTTCACCTCTGGTTAAAATGGTCCTTGAATGAACCACTAAGGGCGCCCCTCAGAAGTGCCCCGATGTGGAATAGGTGCCTCGATGCCTCTTTTAGAATGGTTATGATTTGTTACGACGTCTAGAGGTCTGACGTTCACTTTAAGACAGCCTTCGACGACCATCTTGAGGACGTTCTCTGTGTGTACCTGGTGTCCCCCGTCAGGAGGATGGCTGCGAATAAAATGTATTAATACAGATACAGCAATACATAAAGTGCGTTGGTGTTCAGAAATACATAAAAGTGCGCAGGGGATCAGAAGTGCATAAAACTGCGTTGGTCAAAATAACATCAACCAACTCTTATCAAAAGGTAATTTATCTCACTAACATGACACAAACAATTATCTGCCTCTGACAACAAACTGTGTACGAATATAACTTGAAACTATCTGAAGTGCATAAAATATTTAATCCCTATATCAAGAAGGAGTCTATTCAACTCTGGTAATAATATCTTGAGTCTGTGTGTGTTAGTTCTCCGTGTTGAGGTGAAGGCGTGGACATTAACCTGGTCTTGACGTCAGAGAAAATAAACACAATTCCACGTCCACCTGAAGTGCTTTACATGGTGACGACACAGTGACATTAATAAGAGTTACAATTATGTTGATGAGAATACCAGAATCTCGTTTAATATTATGAAATACATTTACAAAGCTAACCGTGTTCTTGATGGTAAAATGTACAGAGATAATATTGACATATATCCAGTTCACATTGCTGACGATTACAAGGATTAAGTTTTGTCAGTAAGAGAAAATTATACTAAAATTACCCTGATGTTGAATAAGAGTGACAAAGAAATCACCATTAACTATTTTAAACCTGAAATGAAAGAAACTTAGATATCCCTCACTAGCTCAAACAATATCAGCCAGGTCAAAAAGAACGTGTTTACTCGAATGAAAACACCTGGAATATTGATCCTGTTGAGGAGGAACTCTCTACCTCTTCGTTAGTGCTGCCTACCTGGTCATGGGGACAGGTGCAGGTGGAGTCAGAAAATTAATCACTTACACCTGTCGGACTCGTGGTGATGAGTTTATTGTTGTATTATGTAAGTGTGATGACGATAGTGATGAAGTAGTGACGTTGTGGTGATGGTGGTTATGTTACAGTGATGGTGTTAATGCTATAGTGATGATGGTGATAATACAGTGAATTTTTGGGGGGGCTATTATGAAGTGAAAAAGTTTGTGAAATAATGGTAACACTAAAATTTGCTTTTCATGGAAGTAGTGGTGTGATAATGGTGGTACATGTTATCTTTATGTAATGGTGATGACAATTGAGCCTAATAGATCATGGTGGTGAGGCTGATCATGGTAAAGTGTAAAACATTTGTCATGGTAGTGCACTTAAAGTATTATACTGACCACTTTGAACACTTTCCATGGTAGGACATTGAACAAGTTATGGTAGTGGATTCATAGCAGTGCAGTTTTTAAATAGAATGAAAACAAGACTACTATACATCCCATGGTATATTGCCACGTCATAACCATGGTACCTCTACACCGATGGTAATATGGTATTGGGTTCAACTATAACAACACCATGGCTAAAAATCCCTAGAAATTGACAGGATTGACAGGTGAAGACTCGATAAACAGTAGATAGAAAAGATAAACAAGAAACAAAGAGAAAGAATGGATGGATAATAAGGAAACAGAAGAGAATGGATAAGAGAATTAACAAGAAACGAATGGGAGATAGTAAACAGAATGAAAAGAAAAAGTTGATAACGAAAGATGAAGAAAATATTAAAAAAATGGATGGAAAAAAGTTGATCAAGTGTAAATAAGGATTGATTAAGGTATCTCAATTAACCAAGATGGATTGACGATTGACTAATGACAAACAATAGCATAAAAACAGCTATTAATCCTATACACCATAATCTAGAGATATAACTAAGTACACTATGTTAACTATATGAAAGACATTGTAAATACACCCTTATGTAATGTATATATATGTGTGTTTTATATACGATGGTCTTAAGCACTGTATATAGACAATCCTGAGTTACTTCTGATGAAAGTACGTTATAACCACCACCAGTTAACAAAGTTTGTAATTTGTGTCGTAAAACGTTTCTTATAGTGTAATAAGTGCCCTGGCGTCCTTAGCAACCGGTGTACTTTTTTCAGAGAAGGTGATTGGTTACTGGTTGCTAAGTTATAATTCCTTAGCAACCAATAGCCAATCAACTTTTTAGGTTTTGTAAGTGGGCGGAGTTTAATGAGTTTGTTATTGCACCTTGTACTTAAATGATACACCGAATTGGTTAGGTTAGGTTAGGTTAGGTTAGGCTCAGTTCAGTTTAAATTCCATGGTCTCTGTATAAATCAAGTGTATTTTTGTATACGTTGATATACAGAAACACTCATACTGTTACCTTGTGTATATCCAGATTCTTGTCATTTTCAGCTTAATATGTCACTGAATATACACGTCCATCCACTCATATATACACGTCTATACACCCATGTACACATATATACACCGTCACCGACGTTTCTTCATTCATCAAACATACACAAGCAAACGCACATACACATGAACGCAAGTAAACGCACAAATACTTTATATATGTATATCTTTCACACACACACACACACACACACACACACGAGAGAGAGAGAGAGAGAGAGAGAGAGAGAGAGAGAGAGAGAGAGAGAGAGAGAGCAGCTTGGTTAAGTTAGAAGTGTACCCAGAGGACCTAAATATTTATACCAGAGTAAACCATAAGGTTAACAGTACTGAGACGTCGTCCTTATCTTTCTCTCTCTCTTTGTGGCTCTCTATCTCTCTCTATGTGGCTCTCTATCTCTCTCTTTGTGGCTCTCTATCTCTCTCCCTGTCTTTGCATTAAAACGTCTTTGTCTGTGTGTATGTACTTTATACACACACACACTAGCAGGCACCCACACGACCATTTTACGCAGGCAATTCTCGTAACAGCTGGTGAGTCAATCAGATACTGGGCGTGGCAGCCAACAAGACTATAACAAGCTGAACTGTCCCTTGTTATCTTACCATCTTCATTCATCACGTAGAGAGAGAGAGAGAGAGAGAGAGAGAGAGAGAGAGAGAGAGAGAGAGAGAGAGTATTCGTCATCATCCTCATCCTCATCATCATCATCATCATCATCATCATCATCATCTCCTCACATACTACTAAACATTTGTCTGTGTCTCTTTATATACACAGTGTATATAAACATGTATGTGTGTATGGATATGTACATTATATACATACAAGTAATTATTATCTCACATATTCAGAGTAAAATAATCTTCGTCGTCTCAATAATCATAAAATTTTAATAATAAGGTAAAATTTATCTTATTAATGTTTATCTATTTTTTTTATTGTTTTGAGTTTGTTGATAATGTCTTGTTAGGTGTTAAGGAATGGCCGAAGGTAACTTAGTGTAGTCTTATGGTATTAAGTTATTAAGTTATTGATTGAGATCTGTAGAATATTTTTTGTTTTGTACTTAATTTTGGGTTATATTTTATACCTTGGGTTAAATCAGTGTTAAATTAGTCTTTTTTTATTATTAAATGTATTGTGTTAAGATATGACGTCATGTATGTATGTATATTGTTAACATAAATTAACTTTGATCCTCGGTGGGATTCGAACCGTTTCAGAACCTTACTTACTGCATGTGTTATTGAAGCTCAGGAAGGCAAAACGAACCCTTGAACCACTGACCTAGAGACCCCCCTGGTTCGAACCCGACCTTGTGATGTTTACTTTGGCATTCTGTACTTAACTTGTCATCTGTGGAATAATATGTCGTTAGTATATGTAGTTAACTTCTGATATGGGAGTAATTATAAACACGATGATAATGTTAATATTGAGAAAGTGGGTTAATGTTAGTATTGTTTATGTTAATATTAATAAATTGGGGTAGATATAGTGTATTAACTGTCATAGGAATATATTCACTAAATTTGTTATATGTCTAGAGTATGACAGGAGGTATGCTGGGCCCTGTTGGGATATACTAGCATAATAAAGAGTATATCTTTCTGTGGATATATGCCGAGTTTATTGATTGGCTGGAGAAGGGTATGTTCTTGAGTTAAACTTGGGTGCCAGACATATGTTCCTGGAATATACTAGTGCCAAAGAATATATTTTTTGGGGGGATTTATGACAGTGCCAATGTATATAATGTATATATTCATTAGGTGTATAACGGTGCCAAAGTATTATGTAACGAAATATATCGATGCCAAAGTATAGATTCACTGAATATATGACAGTGCCAAAGTATATTCACTGTGGTATAAAAGAGTGCCAGAGGCTATATTATTATAGTAGTGAGACGCATAATAGTGCCAGTAAATACGTCACGATGCCACAAAAATGGGTTTTTCGAATGGCACTTCTGATTGGTAGATTTTCACGTGTATTTCTATATAAGTTCTGATAAGGCGCTCCTGATTGGTGGAATTTTTACAAGTCAACACCGACCGGCTTTGGTACGGCACTTTGGATTGGTTCTTTTTTTTTATGTTTACATGGATAGGCTGTCCTGATTGGTGGGTTTTTGTTATTGTGACGTAAATTGTTAGTTTGTGTTTAATCTAAGTAACTTTGAATGATATTTAAATTTGTGAAGTAAATGAGCAGAATAATCAACCACTTAGGCCTATACAGTATTTGTTTTGACAGTTCGCATGTCGTGAACGTTTTTCTTTTAAAGATACAGCCTAACGTTTTAAAATTGGAAGTGTTAAGAATGTTAGAAAGAATTGCAAACGTTTTTAAAATCAACACAAACGTTTCTAAATCAACACAAACGTTTCTAAATCAACACAAACGTTTCTAAATCAACACAAACGTTTCTAAAGCAGGTTAAAGTAGCCTGGTTATCATAAGGACTGACAAACATATATTATGGATATGTAGTTAAGATGTAAGCAAGTTGTACCTTCTGTGTAGTGTTTGTTCTTTACACAGACTTTACCTGAGTGTTTTGTTATGGGTTAAATGAGTAAGGGAGAGTACTGCTATGCGGGTAACACACACACACACACACACACACACACACACATGCATTTGATAAATACACTGGTGCCCATTCGCCTCTGATTGGCTACACAGTGACCAATAGGGAAAAGACATCATTATCTAACTGCATTTTTCTGATTGGCTTTAGAGATAGTGGGTGAACTCGATAATTGCCTCTGATTAGCTAATAGACAACGGTAGACCAGTCACGTCTACCTCTTCACTGATTGGCTTATAAAATTTATGGGCGTGACCAGTCACGTATCCTCTCCTCCGATTAGTTGGTAAAAGGGCGATGGGAGGGACGAATCATGTTCCCTCTCCTCTGATTGGTTTGGGGAGGGAAAATCATATTCCCCTGATTGATTCGGAGGGATCAATCGCGTACCTCCTCGCCTCTAAATTGTTAGGAGAGAACAATCACGTTCCTCCTCGCTTTTTATTGGTTGGGAGGGACCAATCACGTTCCTCCTCGCTTCTAATTGGTTGGGGGGGGATCAATCACGTCCCTCCTCTTCCCTGATTGGCCAGATAAACAACTAATGACAAGTTAGATATATTTTCATACAAGTTTATCTTCATATCATTGGCTCAACAATACCCATAGACAATAATATTTTAGATCTTTGTAAAAAAATTATATATTTAATCAAAGTGTTTTACAATTTACAGGTTTTTCTTGTCGTAATATACAAGGGCATGAGAGCGTTTTTTTGTAAATAATTTAATTTTAACCTTAAGTAGGAATTAATTAATGTACATCAGTATTAATTTTTTCTGGACAAGTTTTGATTTTTTTTTAAAATATGAATTAAAAATGTGTTAATTCATATGTTACCTTTTTCTTCCTTCGTATGAATAAATCAAGTATTTTGTGTGTGTTTGTTTCATTAACCCTGTGTGTGTGTGTGTGTGTGAATAGTAAAGAAGGAATAATGAGTAATAGAAGTGAGAGAAACAGGTGGATAGTAGAGACACTGATAAAGGTAGATGGGATAAAACCACAGCCTCTACCCACCCCACTCCCTTACCAGTGTTTGTTTACGCCTAACCGAACTTGGAACTGTTGCTATAAAGTCCTCGTGACAGCTGTTAGTGTGACCCTATAGAGAGAGACAGTAGAAAATACCCGTAAAGTCTCACTGGTCAGAACGTACCACCGGCAGCGGGACACAAGTTGGATTTCGGGATTGTTATCAAGGTGAGTCCTTTTACCTGATACACCTTAATGATGTTTGTTAACACCTCCCTGTCCTAGACTAAATTATCAAGACCACTGGAAGGATCCTACGCAGGCCTCTTTACCTCTGCATGCCTACCTGTAGTGGGTGGCCATTAGGTAAATAAGGTGGGTAACACAGGGTAGACCAATAGCTCATGGGCTAAGTGGTGATGTGTTGTGTCTAGTGCGGTAGTGTTAAGTTAGTGTTAAGGTACAGCTCTGATTGCTACTCTAACACTCAGCTACTGCCGCCGGCTTGCCCTTGTGGTTAAAGGGTAGAGCAGAGTGTGTAAGTCTCTCCTCCCGGTACACAGCCTCTCTATCACCAAGACCCTTCAGTGCCTCCTCGTGACAGATTCTGTAAGGGATCTCGGAGCAGCAGTGGACCCTAGAGATACGGTGTGGAGGCTCGCCGGGGTTCAGACACGCCCTGACGCCTACCAACCACTGCACCTCCTCCTAACCCATTCCCTTGTAGAGTAGTCCAGGAGAGCTCACCCTACACAAGGACGCAGCTGGGTGACCTGCTTCAGACAGACTTCGACTGACTGGTCACCTGAATGCCGTCTTGAGTTCGCTTTTGCCACTGGAACTTAGTGATTAGGACCAAGCTGGTGGTGGTGGGGTCAGCGCTTCTATAGTACTCCGTCACGATAATCCTTTCACAGCACAGGCAAACTTTCTTCATCATCTCATCTCCATCGGCGGACAGCCATAAGCAACAAAGATAAATAGAAAACACAAGTACACTCTCTCACACAGTGTGAGATTATCATATGGTTCACAGCTACAGTAAATGGTTTATTGGTGTTGTTGAGGAGGAATAAATAAATTATAAATAGTTTATATAGTTCCCACCGGAGAACACGAAATGCTTACTGTAGTCAAACTTTTAAGGAAAACGCCTTGCTAGCGTGAATTTTTGGGGGTACTAAACTAAGTTAACAAAACTATGTTAATTTATCCTCTGTGTCACTTACCGATCCAAATCTTAACCTAACCATACCTAATTTAACCCAACCTAATCCTGTACTTTCCTCCCAGACTTAAAATATAATAAGTTTAACGACTTAAGTACTTATAGAATAATTTAAATACACCCAAAATACCTCAGAAACCAAGCAGCCCTCCCAAAGGTGGAGGCAACCCCAGGGGCCCTTCCAGGGTCGGTGGCTACGACAGGGGACCTCCGAGGTGCGGCGGCGACCCCAGGAGCTGTCCCAGGGGCAGCAGTGACCCCATTGGCTATCCCAGGGTCGCCGGCGACCCCAAAATCCCTCCAAGGGCGTTGGTACCCCCAGGGTCACTCACAGGGGTGGCGGCGACCCCAGGGGTCCTTCCAGGAGTTGGAGCAAAGAGAGGATACTTCCCAGAGACGTCGTTGCCCCCTAGGGGCTCTCCCAGGGGCAGCGCCGCTACCGGAGGCACTCTCTGTGGCAATGGTACCCTCAGAGGCCCTACCAGAGGCGCCACCTCCCAGGTGCCCTATAGCATGCTTGGTCGTGGTGTCATACATCTTGCATACCTCCAGCAATCCCTTACTTAACAGTGATTGGTGGACTAAAACGCAAATCAACAAAATATTAACCAATAGGAGAAGAGAGCGTTCAGTCAGCACAACACCCCAACTTATGTTTTCCTGTTGCATATTTATTCTCCTTTACATTGTTCATGAGGCTATGATACTGTAAAAGCGTTGGGAAGTGTATTTATTTAACGTCATATCTCCCATTTTTCTGAATGGTGCAAAAAAACTGCCGCCAGGGGCCCTACAGGTGAAGTGCCCCTTGGGGAAGTCCCATTTTCCCTACCAAGTGTGACGCCCACAGGAGAACTCCCGGGGGGGTATACGCCTTAAGGGGCACTTCCAGGAGCGGCGAAACTCCCGGGAGCCCTCTCAAAGGTGGTGGCAACCCCAGGGGCCCTTCCAGGGATTCCGGCGACCAGAGGATATCCCCCAGAGACGTCGTTGCCCCCAGGGGCTCTCCCAGCTGCAGCGCCGCTACCAAAGGCTCTCCCTGGGGCAATGGTACCCTTAGGGGCCCTACCAGAGGCGCCACCTCCCAGGTGCCCTATAGCATACTTGGTCGTGGTGTCATACATCTTGCATACCTCCAGCAATCCCTTACTTAACTGTGATTGGTGGACTAAAATATAAATCCATCAATATTAACCAATAGGAGAAGAGAGCGTTCAGTCAGCACAACACCCCAACTTATGTTTTCCTGTTGGATATTTATTCTCCTTTACATTGTTCATGAGGCTATGATACTGGAAAAGCGTTGGGCGGTGTATTTATTTAACGTCATATTTCCCATTTTCTGAATGGTAAAAAATCTGCCACCAGGGGCCCTACAGGTGAAGTGCCCACCCCTGGGCTTCCCATTTTCCCTACCAAGTGCGGCGCCCACAGGACCCCTCCCAGGGGTGTAAACGCCCCAGGTGCGCTTCCGGGGCAGTGAAATTCTGTGAGCCCTCCTCAAAGATGCATGGCAACCCCAGGCCTCTCCAGTGTCTGTGGATATGACAGGGGACCTCCCAGGTGCGGCGCAGCACCCCAGGAGCTGTTCCAGGGGGAGTAGAAAGCGGCCCCAGGGGCTATCCCAGGATCGCGAGCGTCCTGCGATCCCACCATGGGCGTTGGTGTAACAACACCCCAGGGCACTCACAGGGGTGGCAGCGACCCCAGGGGTCCTTCCAGGAATCCGCACCAGAGGTTACCTCCCAGAGACGTCGTTGCACCCAGGGCCTCCCAGGGGATCTTCCAGAGGCGGTGGCGCCCCAAGGGGCAGTGGTACCCTTATGGGGCTTCCTAGAGGCCCTACCAGAGGCGTCCCCTGCCTGGAGACCTATAGCTTTTGGTCGTAGTGTCGTACATATTGCATACGTCCAGCAATCCCTTACTTAACTGTGATTGGTGGACTAAAACAAATCCATCAAATATTAACCAATAGGAGAAGAGAGCGTTCAGTCAGCACAACACCCCAACTTATGTTTTCCTGTTGCATATTTATTCTCCTTTACATTGTTCATGAGGCTATGATACTGTAAAAGCGTTGGGAATTGTGTTTATTTAACGTCATCCCTGGGGTGGTGGTACCCTCAGGGGTCCCTACCAGAGGCGCCACCTCCCAGGAACCACCCAGCACGCTTGATCGTGGTGTCATACATCTTGAATACCTCCAGCAATCCCTCACTTACCTGTGATTGGTGGACTAAAATGTAAATCCATCTATTTAAACCAATAGGAGAACAGAGCGGTCAGTCAGCACAACACCCCAACTTATGTTTTCCTGTTGCATTTTTATTCTCCTTTACATTGTTCATGAGGCTATGATACTGTAAAAGCGTTGGGAAGTGTGTTTATTTAACGTCATATCTCCCATTTTTCTGAATGGTGCAAAAAAACTGCCGCCAGGGGCCCTACAGGTGAAGTGCCCCTTGGAGAAGTCCCATTTTCACTACCAAGTGTGACGCCCACAGGGGAACTCCCGGGGGGGTATACGCCTTAAGGGGCACTTCCAGGAGCGGCGAAACTCCCGGGAGCCCTCTCAAAGGTGGTGGCAACCCCAGGGGCCCTTCCAGGGATTCCGGCGACCAGAGGATATCCCCCAGAGACGTCGTTGCCCCCAGGGGCTCTCCCAGCTGCAGCGCCGCTACCAAAGGCTCTCCCTGGGGCATTGGTACCCTTAGGGGCCCTACCAGAGGCGCCACCTCCCAGGTGCCCTATAGCATACTTGGTCGTGGTGTCATACATCTTGCATACCTCCAGCAATCCCTTACTTAACTGTGATTGGTGGACTAAAATATAAATCCATCAATATTAACCAATAGGAGAACAGAGCGGTCAGTCAGCACAACACCCCAATTTATGTTTTCCTGTTGGATATTTATTCTCCTTTACATTGTTCATGAGGCTATGATACTGTAAAAGCGTTGGGCGGTGTATTTATTTAACGTCATATCTCCCATTTTTCTGAATGGTGCAAAAAAATCTGCCACCAGGGGCCCTACAGATGAAGTGCCCCCTGGGGCCTTCCCATTTTCCCTACCAAGTGTGGCGCCCACAGGGACCCTCCCAGGGGTGTAAACGCCCCCAGGTGCGCTTCCGGGGGCAGTGAAATTCCCAGGAGCCCTCTCAAAGATGGCGGCAACCCCAGGGGCCCTTCCAGTGTCTGTGGATATGACAGGGGACCTCCCAGGTGCGGCGGCGACCCCAGGAGCTGTTCCAGGGGGAGCAGCGGCCCCAGGGGCTATCCCAGGATCGCGAGCGTCCCCAGGATCCCACCAAGGGCGTTGGTAACCCCAGGGGCACTCACAGGGGTGGCAGCGACCCCAGGGGTCCTTCCAGGGAATCCGGCGACCAGAGGTTACCTCCCAGAGACGTCGTTGCACCCAGGGGTTTCCCAGGGGCAGCGCCGTTACCAGAGGCCCTTCCTGGGGCGATGGTACCCTCAGGGGTCCGTACCAGAGGCGCCACCTCCCAGGACCCCTCCAGCAGGCTTGGTCGTGGTGTCATACATCTTGAATACCTCCAGCAATCCCTTACTTAACTGTGATTGGTGGACTAAAATGTAAATCCATCAATATTAACCAATAAGAGAACAGAGCAGTCAGTCAGCACAACACCCCAACTTATGTTTTCCTGTTGCATATTTATTCTCCTTTACATTGTTCATGAGGCTATGATACTGTAAAAGCGTTGGGAAGTGTGTTTATTTAACGTCATCCCTGGGGTGATGTTACCCTCAGGAGTCCCTACCAGAGGCGCCACCTCCCAGGAGCCACCCAGCACGCTTGATCGTGGTGTCATACATCTTGAATACCTCCAGCAATCCCTTACTTAACTGTGATTGGTGGACTAAAATGTAAATCCATCTATTTAAACCAATAGGAGAACAGAGCAGTCAGTCAGCACAACACCCCAACTTATGTTTTCCTGTTGCATATTTATTCTCCTTTACATTGTTCATGAGGCTATGATACTGTAAAAGCGTTGGGAAGTGTGTTTATTTAACGTCATATCTCCCATTTTTCTGAATTGTGCAAACAAACTGTCACCAGGGGCCCTACAGGTGGAGTGCCCCCTGGGGTGTTCCCATTTTCCCTACCAAGTCTGGCGTCCACAGGGCCCTTCCAGGGGGGTGTACACCCACAGGGGACCTTCCAGGGGCGAAGAAACTCACAGGTGCCCTCCCACAGGTGGCGGCAACCCCAGGGGCTCTTCCTGGGGCGGTGGCTACCACAAGGGACCTCCCAGCTGCGACGGTGACCCCAGATCTGGCAAGGGGCCCCAGGCAACCCATCCCTCCAAGGGGCATGGTACCCCAGGGGCTCTCACAGTTGCAGGACCAGAGGATATCCCCCAGAGACGTCGTTGCCCCCAGGGGCTCTCCCAGCTGCAGCGCCGCTACCAAAGGCTCTCCCTGGGGCAATGGTACCCTTAGGGGCCCTACCAGAGGCGCCACCTCCCAGGTGCCCTATAGCATACTTGGTCGTGGTGTCATACATCTTGCATACCTCCAGCAATCCCTTACTTAACTGTGATTGGTGGACTAAAATATAAATCCATCAATATTAACCAATAGGAGAAGAGAGCGTTCAGTCAGCACAACACCCCAACTTATGTTTTCCTGTTGGATATTTATTCTCCTTTACATTGTTCATGAGGCTATGATACTGGAAAAGCGTTGGGCGGTGTATTTATTTAAGGAGAATAAATATCCAACAGGAAAACATAAGTTGGGGTGTTGTGCTGACAGACTGCTCTCTTCTATTGGCTGTAATTTGGTGGATTTACATTTTAGTCCACCAATCACAGTTAAGTAAGAAACTGCTGGACGTATGTAGTATGAACGATATCACGATCAAGGCCCTGAGGGCGCCGACCCTGGGCCCACCAGAGTCCATGACAGGGTCCCCGCCGCTCTTGGGAAGGCCCGTTGTTGCCCCAAGGAGAGTGAGCGGCTTCTTGCGCCCCTCTGGTTGTGTCCTCGGGCCCTGGTTGAGTCCCTGGGATTCTCATGGATCCCCTGGCCTTGGTGGACTCCTGGAGGTTCCCTGGGAGTTCCCTGAGGCCCCTGACCCTGGGGTCTGTTAGTAGTCCCATTGGGTCCCTGACCCTGGTACGGCTCCTGGGCGCTCCCTGGTAGTCCCATTTAACCCCTGTTGATGTTGTTCATTTCTTTATCTCCTGTATTTTGTTTTTGGTCATGAATTTCTGTTTAGTACTTTCGGTTTTGCTATGCATAGGTTAATGAGACAAGTGATATAGAGAGCAGACTGTATTTGTCAAAGTCAGACGAGCATCAGTATTCTGTACACCATTTCTCGAAAAAAATCATCACTTGACGTCATCATTTGACGCACCAATGAGACACACGCCCTGCTGTGACGTCACTGAAAAAAAAAAGACTTCGCCACTCGACGAGCCAGTTAGGGGCACGCCCAGTCGTGACATCACGTAAACTCTGATAAACATAAGCAATGGAAGGTTGAACAATCTGACACACACAACAGAGAAACAAGGGTGTTCCTACAGCTACCATATACATTATCATGATTAAAGAATCGTGCAATGTTGGCAATTATCATAAGAAAAGGAGCGTAATTATCTATATACACACAAAGAAGAAATATGAGAATACAATCACTGCATCATTGTAAACGATAAACTTCGAAAAGCAAACAATCGTGACTAGATTTTTCACAAACAGTGTGGTCATACCCTCACTCAAGACAGTGTGGTCATACCCTCACTCAAGAGAGAGAGAGAGAGAGTAACAGGTGCCAGAAATAAATAACTGCTTTATTTAAACACCTCAGATGCCATAAACCTGATAAACACTTAGCTTAATGATAGTCTGGAGGACCCATCTGGCTTGTGAGAGATAATGTTCAAAGGTCACCCGTGTTCTCCTCTCCCTCACCTACATCTTTCTTTTGAACACCTTAGGGGACCACCTTACTGAGGAGCTGTAACACTTCTTCTGAGGAACTTTTGTAACAAGATGAAGCATTTTTATGTTAGACTGTTGTGATCATCCAGTCCTGCCCAACACCTCCACAACAACATGGGGGTGGGCTTGACGAGTCTGTTCGTACCATAAGTAAACGACCATGACTACGAATTATCATCTGGCTAAATAGCTTCCATAAACACAATGCAAGATAAAGATTACAGGGTGGAGGAACGCCAGATGCTGCTGAATGCTCGTGCCTCTGCACTATTTACTATGGTACCGGGTGTTGAAGATCTTTGGCTGAGTGTGCCTCTGTCGCTCTACTTTGAAGACATTATCACAACACCCGACCTTTCCTCTGTGCTGTGACCAGACTCAGATTGGCGACAACCTTCACCTCACAGGATCAACTTCCCTCAACACAACTTCAATGAAGGTTTACAATACATTCATAATAATACCCAATACAGTACAAAACTTCCTTCGGTTTCCGGTGAGACATGTGAGATACATATTATTATTGTGGTCACGTCAAACTACATAGTATAAGCAATAGATATATTACTATACTACAACTATAATAACATTGGCTAGTTCTGTAGAGTCTAAACTGGTTCACAATCTCGTACATTTACTTATAATTATGTAAGTGTATCTTATAGTCTACTCAAATACATCTTCAGAAATAACAAACTTTTACTGGATAGATTTATCATCATCAGCTCTTTTCTAATAAACATCTAATGATATAATTCGATGTATATTCTAAATCACCTTTAAAGAATATGTACAATTATAAGCTCATCTCCATCACACACTTAATACATAGAATAATGAGACGACCAGCCATTACATCTTGTACTGTATTCAGTTACCCACCACCACGATCCTTAACACTTGGACTGAACGTGACGAAATACCACCATAAACCAAGACTCGTTTTCTTTGGTGAGGATGAACAAGGAAGGGGAGACTGTGACACGCCCACCGACTTTTTTTTTATATTCTTTTTCATCATTTCCTTATCAACATCACAACTCAGACGTAAGAATCACTTGCCAAACTTTGACTCCAGGAGAGCTTTATGGACACCTTGTACTCACTAAAAGGACATATTAATCGTTCCTTTTAAACCAGTATAACATCATCACTTAATAGTATATAAAGCACCACTAATATTATAAGAATTACTTGTTTCAACTCTCTGCTTGAGGTTCACCAGAGACCAGTGCTAACTTGGCCCTTGTTCAATTTTGTGGTTGTTGTTGCTGTTAAGGTTACAGAGAGGATAGTGACGCTTATCGTAGTGATGATAAGAGTCTTCGTGGCAGGATATAATCGCCGGGAGTGTAGCCAGGACGCCGCCAGGCCAGAAAGAACCCCAAGACGGTGGTGCTTTGGACGGGAGAGTCTTCAGCCAGCAGACTTCACAGACCGGAGGCTCCAGGGAACGGGTGATGCGAGGCATATAATATCAAATGGACGTGGTGATGACTCCTCAGACCTTCCAGAAGACCAAGATGATAACCCTGAGACGACCACCAGCTTCTTCTGCTCATACAGAAGATGACGGGGGTGTGTTTTCTTCTCTAGATGATATTGTACCTCACCTCCTGCATGGTGGGCGGAAACCTCAGCCTGCGAGAGAATGGTGTAGGACTGTAGGTCTTCTGGAAGGTGGTGGAGGGTCTAGTGGTCTCCTAGACAGTACACAGCATCTCCTGGTCGTAGGTAATCGCCTTGGGTAGGTCAGCGTTGTTGAAGTTGAGCAAGTCTGAAGATTTGGTGGCGGAGGCAACCCTCGCCCTGTGGTACGCCAGGTCGTACTCCTGAAACACCAGAAAGACTCGACTTAGAACATCTCAAGCTTAAGGTGACCTGTGTATTATTTATCTCAGGGGCCCTACAGTGAAAAGTGATGACAATAATAATAATAATAATAATAATAATAATAATAATAATAATAATAATAATAATAATAATAATAATAATAATAAACATTGAAAATCATATTAATAAGACTAGTAATTACAAAACACCATTGCAAGAAATAATACTAATATAAATAAATGAAAAATAGCATTGATATTACTAATTTATATTTACTAAAAACACCATTAGCCATTATTATTAACCTCATTATCATAACCTTTTTTATCATTACTATGACATACACTAACCCGTATCCTCTCTCGTACCAACCCAGTAAGGCAGTCAACACTCTCCAACACAGAGCACCATATTGGTAACCTTCAACTCACCCTTAGTCTGCTGCCGTAGAAGTTGGCTCGTTCTCTCTTCTTGGACATGAAGTCGTTCTCGGTCAACCAGCGATGTTCCCGACACTCCTCCACCGTCGGCCGTTTGCTGAGGATCAACACCACACGGGTTACTTTACATAGGGTATTGCTTCAGGTAATTAAAGGAGAGTTTTAGTGCTAATTACCTGCACACAGTTCACGCCACCCTTATAAGCCACACAGACAAATTTCCGGCCTCGAAATTCCTAACCCACAACTGGATCCATCCGTCTCTCACCTCCCAAAACACACAAATCAAGGAGGATATAGAGAGGAACTATTTCTTATATGGTCTTATTTATCTTATTTCTGTTTAAAAACTAAAATCCGTAAATCATCGGTACAAGTTTGGCAAAAATACAATCACGTAGATTCATGCAGTGGACGTTATGAATAAAAATTTTCACGGCTTATGAGATTTATGACCGGAGTTTACGTTAAGGACAAATCATTCTCTAGACAACTAAAAGTTTTCTATGACGAGGGAGCTTGATGGCGTAAATAGTTAAAACAGTTATGGTAAAATTCAATCAGTGTTCTTAAAGCATCGTGTACGTTTTCTATGGAAGGGGGGGGGGGCAGTCAGGGGCCGAACAATAACTGAATGATGTGCCAGTTCGTCTAAACCAGTGGTGTCAAACTCAAAACCTTTCGAGGGCCAATTCTTATTTTAGTTACCCTCTTCAGGGCCAACACAAGTGCTATTTCACATATTTGCAGGACTGAAGTTTGCAGCTTCACACATTGCCTTACCTGGCTTACCAGGAATACCCCATTTGGGTTTGTCTGATCTTAAGTATGTAAAATTCATTTTACTAAATAAAAATGATTATATCTATTTTTCATAATTTCACGGGATGATAAATTTTACCGTCATCCCGCGGGCCACAAGTGACCATCCCAAGGGCCACACCTGACCATCCCAAGGGCCACACCTGACCATCCCAAGGGCCACACCTGACCATCCCAAGGGCCACACCTGACCATCCCAAGGGCCATGAGTTTGACACCCCTGCGTCTAAACAGTATACATCTTCCTTGATACAAATCAGGTAATTAATCGGTGGTCAGTCAAGGTGTTAGGAATCTTGAGCCCGCCAGAGTGTGTCATATAAGTAGTGTGTGAACTGTACATTCTAGCCTAGGTACTATTATTAATTAAGTACATGATGGGATAATTGCTCCTATCATTAAGTGTATTTTGAGTTAATTAATGCTATATACTGGGCTCATTAATGCCATTAAGAGAGGCAGTAATAACATCACTAAAACACTAATAACATCACTTAATAGAGGCAGCAGCAGCATCAACAACATCAACACACACACACACACACACACACACACACACACACCTGGGATCTCTCTTGAAGATCAGCATAAGGAACCTAATAGCCTCTTGCGTTGTGTTGCTCCCCAAGTGTTCGAATCTGTATCGGACGAACTGAATATTCTCTTTCGTCTCGTCTTCATCGTCACCCTTGAAGGCGCTAACCCCGGACAACAGGAGATAGGTAACGACGCCCAGAGACCAGATGTCGCTGTTAGGGAACGCGTGTTGATCTGATAAGACTTCAGGAGCTGTGGGGAAGAAGATAAGAGAGAGAGGTTGTTATTGATTAGAGTTGAATAGTCAGGGGAGGGGAGTAATTTGGTGGGGGTGATTGATCTTCAGGTGATAAAATCTCTCTCTCTCTCTCTCTCTCTCATAACCTGGGTGTGTGGGATAGCACTATCTGGGTTACTTCAGGTGTGGTATAAAGATGGTTTTTGTATGATTTATGAGATGGGTCTTTTTTTTTCTCTGGTAAGTCAAGATGTTGTTGAGTTAGTGAAATACGACCCTGAGATGAAGGTGGGAGAAAGGGAGGGAAGGAGGGAGGGAAGGTGGGAGGGAAGGTGGGAGGGAAGGAGGGAAGGTGGGAAGGAAGGTGGGAAGGTGGGAAGGGAGGGTGGGAGGGAAGGAGGAAGGTGGGAAGGAGGGTGGGAGGAAGGGAAGGAAGGATGGAGGGAGGTAAGGTGGGAAGGGAAAGGTCAAGTGCCTGGTCGTTGTTCTCATCACAAACACAATACTAAAGGGCTAGGGGTGACGAAGCCCACATGACGTTTAGATAGCTCTCATTATCACTCTTCCCAGCTCCTAATATACACCCTGGGTCAACAAGTGGCTGAGAGAGAGAGAGAGAGAGAGAGAGACATCAACTCACCAATATAGTCTAGGAGTCCGTTGATAGGTACTGTAGAGCCCAATTTGGAGACTTTCTGTGCACTACCCAGGTCTACCAGCTTTACATCACAGCGTCGGGTAGTGGTGAGGACGATGTTGTCTGGTTGTATGTCTAGGTGGCAGTATCCGCGCCAGTGTAGGTATGACAGAGCGTCCAATACCTGTGTGGGTAGAGAAGTGACGGTATAAGAAGATAGGGACGGGTAATTGACGGTAAGAAATGACAAGGAAGGTTATAAATGACGGTAAGATGATGATATTAAGATATACCAAAAAAATAGACGGAAAGGAAATTTTAATACCAGTAGAATATGCGATAAAAAATATACCCAAATTCCAACAGAAAACGAGATTAAAGAGAAAATGGGAGACAGTCACAAAGCTAAAGAAAACGGAATGAAAAGTTTAGGAGACAGTACAAACATGACGAGAGACATACCTGAGTGACCATAGTGAAGATGTTCTGCTCCGTATATTCGTACTGACAGGCCAGATAGGTGAGGATGTCTATTCCCCCTAGCGGTTCCATCACGAACACTGTCACGTTGTTTACACTGAGAAATGGAGAGATAAGAGATATGAGAGACAGGTGTGAGAGATGAGAGACATAGGTTAGAGATGAGAGACAGGTGTATCATATGACAAGTAGAGGATGAGAAGTGAGAAAGACCTGGAATTAATCAAAAAGAAAATGAAAACTCAATTCACCTGTACAGCTCACAAACTCAAAATTCACCTGTATGACTCATAAAGCTGGGCGATTCTCTCATGTCTGACAGTTCTCAACACCTCAAACTCCTCCTTGACGGCGTATTCTCTGTCCTTGTGTTGCAGTATCTTGGCCACGAACTGTCGGCGGTCGTCAAGCCGGACACATTTGGCTATGACGGAGAATTTACCGCGGGAGATCTCTGAGACCATGCTGTATTTTCTTACCTGTTGGAGGAGAAGAGGTGTTGGTGAGAGTGTTGGAGAAGAAGAGGTGTTGGTGAGTGTTGGAGGAGAAGAGGTGTTGGTGAGTGTTGGAGAAGAAGAGGTGTTGGTGAGTGTTGGAGGAGAAGAGGTGTTGGTGAGAGTGTTGGAGGAGAAGAGGTGTTGGTGAGAGTGTTGGAGAAGAAGAGGTGTTGGTGAGTGTTGGTGATGAATGTTTGTGATTGTGGTGGTGAGGGAGGAGGTGATAGAGGTGATAGGTTAATGTTGGAGATTGTGTTAGGTGGAGATGATGTGGTGGTGGTGGTGGGTGGAGATGCCTTGGAGATAGTGATGGAGATTATAGTCTTGAAGAACAATAACACACAACAAAGTATATATACGAGCAACAGTTATAGTAAAAGGATCAGCCAGGAAGTGACTTAGAAGCTGTTTTATGCATGTCTTGGCTCGACCATCACGAATTAGAGAGTGTCAAGGACCTACCTGAAGCTGGGCACTGTCTCCAGTCTTGAGTTTGACTGGCTCCTTCTCCTTGGAGTAATCTAACTCCCTCTTCTCTGGCCATGGGGATACGATCTTCCCGCCCTCTGTCAGCCGCTGGAGGAACTGCATCCCTCGGCTTATCTGGACTTTGGTCGCTCCTCCTGAAGTGGCAAATGAAGAAGGCTTAAGTTATCACCTACAGGAATTAGTGAACTTCGCATACATACAGCAAAGGAGCTTCGTTTTTTCCTTATGTATAAATTCGTCTCTGATCAGGAGTACCTACAGTATAATACGATTTGGAACGAAATCAAATTTTGGGCTGAAATTGCTGAAACTTAGGCTAATGCTTATCAATATTTACACTGAAATATGATTTTCTATCGGAATTGGAATTTAAGGAGTTTAACTAATCAATTTCTTCCAGAATAACACAGAAACGCCAAAATCACTCCTACGAAACCCATAGTTGACAAGTAATTAGCATTGAAAATATAATTAATATCGAAAAAGTAATTAAAATCTTCCAAGCGTCACTAATTATGCCACAATCGAATGGTGGATTGGGAATCATCATACTCAGGAGCACCTATAATGAGA